TTAGCTATTTACCCCATTCTCATACGGAGAGCACGGCTGGCCCCAGATCTCAGATACCGCCTGACACAGTCTGCTGCATACAAACACTATTCACAATAGGATAAATGTATGGAACTCACTCATGCCCAAAAATGGCCTTTCCCTCCCCTATATGGCAAGTAAGGGTGTAGAGAGAATCCTGATGGTGGAAACCACTTTATTATCATACATAGATCACACAGCACTGCTACAGAGAAACCATCACTGGAACGTCACCATGCATATTCTGTGCAGCTGCTACAAACACAAGCCATCCTGTGCCCCGAGGAAACGGGTTTCTGACTCCGATGATACAGTTTATTCAACTATTTTTAAAGGTTCATACTTACGCACTATTGTGGTCATACACTTTACTTCTAAGTAGATCATAATGCAAAACACATTGTCATTGCTTTGCTGTAAGCAGGACTATTACTGTTTTAAAATGAGGAAAATAGCTTTTATATTTACCTATATATTCGCCATTTCTAGAACTCTTCCTTTCATTCTGGAGATCCAAACTTCCACTTAATGTTATTTTCCTGCTGCCCCCAAACAACTTTAATGTTTCCTGAAGGCAGGTGTACAGTGACGAATCCTCCTTTTGTTTTCCTGAAAAATCTTTTTCCTTTCATTTTTGAAAGATGCTTTTGATGGGTAAATTCTAGGTTGCAGGTTTTTTATCCTCTTTGGTTCCCCAGTCTTTAGTCAGAAGTGTGCTGTCATTCTCTGTCTTTTTTTCTTCAGTTGCTTTACTGAGGTTCTCACTGGTTTTCATCAAGTTGACATGATGTCCATTGGCATGATTGTGTTTCTTCTGTTTTGTGTTCTTTGAGCTTCTTGAATATGTGGAGTTACACTTTTCAGCATATGTGGAAATTTTTCAGCCACGACTTATTCAAATACTTTCTTTTGCCTCTTCTCTCTTCCCTCCTGAAACTCCAATTATATGTATTTCATACCACTGTAGTGGAGCCCCCATTCCCTTGCCTCTTTTTTCTCTGTGTACCTCATTTGGATAGTTTTTATTCTTACTATTCAGGTTCATTATTTTCTTCTTCTATGTCTAATCTGTTCTTAATTCCACCCACATTTTTTTTTTAATTTTAAGAAATTCTCACCCTGTGAAGCCCCATCCAGCTTTTAAAAATATATCTTCCACTTCAAGTTTCATCAAATTCATGTTTTCCTCTGCTTTATAATAGCTATATCAACATCCATGTCTACTAATTCTAACAACTTCTAACCACAGTCTTTTCTATGTCTCTACTGAATATTTTTCTACTGGTTACAAGTCACAGTTTCCTGCCTTTTTGCATGCCAGACATTGGTGGGTCCAAAGTAGCTTTTAATCTGGGGTTAATTACCACACTACTAAGCAACAGCCGTCCGGGAATTCTACCTGAAGCCCATGTGTTAAAAGCTGTTTCCACTGTGGCCGGTGGGAACTGCTGTCAGCCCTGCAGTGAGTTCTAGGAAGGGCTCAGCCTCCTGCTTTCCAGCCACTTTATCAGCTCACAGGACGACCTGTCCATTTCTGCAGTCCTCTCCCTGGGAGGCTCCTTCCCCTCCAGTGCTTTCCTTGCAAATGCTATTGCCATGGCCTCCCCAAACGCCAATCCTCCAACTCTATTCAACGTGGCAGGACTACGCTTGTTCCCTTCCCTGAACTGCAGCCTGGGAACTGCCACCACTTTGTCCACCTCTGCCAGCGATGACAAACCTCTGCTTGTCACATGTCTAACACCAGTTTCTAGCTGTTAAGGCCAGAGGGTTAATTTGGTCCTTGATCTGCCACCACTGCAGAAAGCAGATGTCTTCACACTTAAAACATAGCTACCATTTAAAAATGACCACCTCTTATAATTTGTATACAACAAACTACTTCGTTACTGAATTATTTCAATAGTATGATGTTTATAAAGTTCTTCCAACTACTAGAACTACTTCTGCCTATGAAATCTCTAATACTCAGTATTTCCCGTATGTACACATTCTCTAGTAAGTATGTTACCCTGAATGAAATCTTCCTCTCACTTGTTATGACCTATTTAGGTCTTCTAAATATTTAACAAGCTTTCACTTTTGACCAAAAGTTTCTGTTATTGATAGATGAGCTATCAATGTGTAATAAGTTGTGTCTTCTGGGAGAAGGCTTTCTTATATTGTCTACTTTTTAAAAAATCTCTGAATTCTTTTTAGTGACACTGCCTTTCCAATAGAATTTTTTTCCCAACAGTCAGTGCAATGACAGGGTTTCTGTCCTGTGTGTGTTTCCTCGGAAGCAATAAGAGGCATGACACCTGCTAGCAGCCTTTCCACACTCCCTGCTCTCATGTGGTTTCTATATTACATGATTCTTCTGATGGATCATGAGCTGTGACTTCCTCTTGAAGGTGGTCCCGCATTCGTTGCACCCATAGTATTTATCACCTGTGTGAATTCTCTGATGCCTCATAAGGTGTGACTTTCTAGTGAAAGACTTTCCACATTCTCCACATTTATAGGGCCTCTCTCCTGTATGAATTCTCTGATGTATAATTAGCTGTGCCTTCTCAAAGAAAGCTTTTGCACAATCACTGCATCCATAAGATTTCTCTCCTGTATGATTTCTCTGATGTTTAATGAGTTGTACTTTCTGAACAAAGGCTTTCCCACATTCGTTGCATGCATAGGGTTTCTCCCCTGTATGGATTCTTTGATGCCGAAGAAGCTGTGGCTTCCAGGCAAAAGCTTTCCTACATTCACTACATTCAAAGGGCTTTTCCCCAGTATGGGTTCTCTGATGATGAATGAGACTTGACTTCTCACTGAAGGTTTTCCCACACTCACTGCATTCATAGGGTTTCTCGCCTGTATGAGTTCTCTGATGGGACATCAGGCTTGACTTTTGGGTGAAGGCTTTCCCACATTCACTGCATTCAAAAGGTTTCTCTCCAGTGTGAGTTCTCTGATGTGTAAGCAGCTGTGACTTCCCGAAGAAGGTCTTACCACATTCAACACATCCATAGGGTCTCTCTCCTAAATGAAGTTTTTGGTGTCTTAGTAACTCTGACTTCTTAAAGAAGGCTTCCCCACAGTCGCCACACCGACAGCTCTTCTCTCCCGTGTGAGTGATCTGATGTCTGATAAGCTGTGGTTTTCTGACGAAGGCTTCACCACATTCACTGCATTCATAGGGCTTCTCTCCTGTGTGAATCCTCTGATGCCTGATAAGGAGTGAGTCCCTGCTGAAGGCTTTTTTACACTCACTACATGCATACGGTTTCTTCCCGGTATGAGTCCTTTGATGAGTAATGAGCTGTGACTTCCAAAAGAAGGCTTTGCCACAGTCGCTACATTTATAGGGTTTCTCTCCTGTATGCGTTCTCTGATGTGTAATGAGCTTTAATTTCTGGGAGAAAGCCTTCCCGCAGTCACTACAGCCATAGGGTTTCTCTATTGTATGGGTTATTTGATGTCTTTTAAGCTGTGACTTC